CATTTTGGTCAACCCTACTTTGAGGAGGCATTTTTTTCCACAATCGCTTTCTGAGTGCCCTCCCACCTTCCAGTCCTATATCTGACAATGTTTCTCCGCTATGCATAGAGTTTTCAGTGACTAGCGATTCGGAAGTAGTTTGTCACTCTTTCTTCCTAGTCTGACCACTGTAGCCATGTAGTAAATTTTGAAATTGGGGAGTGAGAGACCTCCAACCTTGTTCTTCCTCTTAAGCAATGTATTGCTTATCCTGAGTCTCTTTCCTTTCAATATAAAGATAGTAATTGTCTTTTCCATCTCTTTGAAGAACGTTGTTGTAATCTGGATTGGGATTGAACTGTATGTGTAAATTGCTTTGAGTGGTACTGACATTTTCAAGATGTTGATTCTTCTTATCCAGGAACATGGTATGTTCTTCCAATTCTGTAGGTCTCTTTTGGTTTCTTGTACTAATGTTTTGTAATTTTCTTTTTATAAGTCCTTTTTTTTTCTGGATAAATTTATTCCTATATATTTCAACCTTTGGGCAGCTATTATAAATCGTATTGCTTGCCTAATGTCTTTTTCACAGCTATCATTGTTGCTATAGAGAAATCCAACTGATTTTTATATGTAGATCTTATACCCTGCCACTTTGCTGAATCTTCCAATGAGGTCTAATAAGTTTTTTTTTACTGAATCTTTGGGGTTTTCTATGTATAGGATCATATCGTGTGCAAATAATGTGAGTTTTACTTCCTCTTTGCCAATCTGAGTGCCTTTCATTTCTCTATTATGCCATATAGCTCTGGCTAAAACTTCCAGCAGAATATTGAATAGGAATGGTGATAGAGGGCATCCTTGTTGGTTTCCTATTAGCATTGGACTTTCAGTTTCTCTCCATTGGGAGTGATGTAGGCTATTGGTTTGTATATATTCTCTTGATTATGTTGAGGAATTTCCCTTTCAATTCCTACTTTGCTGGGTGTTTTTATCAGGAATGGTGTTGGATTTTGTCAAATGCCTTTTCTGCATCATTCAATATGATCATGTGGTTCTTTTCCTTTTTCTTATTTATATGATGGATTAAGTTGAATTTTTTTCTAGTGTTGAATCATCCTTGTAACTCTTTTATGAAAACAACTTGGTCAAGATGTATTTTTTTTTTGTTTTGTTTTTGATGTGCTGTTTTATTCTAGGATTTTGCTGAGAATTTTTGCATCTAAATTCATGAGGGATATTGATCTATATTTTTCTTTTATAGTGATGTCCATCCCTGGTTTGGGTATGAGGGTTATGCTTGCTTTATAAAAGCTATTAGGGATTTTTCCATCATCTTCTATATTCTAGAATAATTTGTGTAGAATCCTTTAACTTTTAATCTGTTTTTGTCTTTGTGTGTAAGGTGTGTTTCTTGCAGGCAGCATATTGAAGGGTATTGTTTTCTTATCCATTCTGCCACTCTCTGTCTCTTCACTGCTGCATTCATTTCATTGACATTCAATGTAATTATCGATAGGTATGATTTAATTGCTGCCATTATGTTACTTTTTTGGTAGTGATGTTCATTCTTTAGTTCTGCATGCCTTCTTGTTCTGGGTTTGTGTTTTTGTGCTATTTCTTTTTAGTTTTCATGTTTGCTTGTTCTGCTTGGAAGTTCATTTTTATGGTAAGTTGTGAAGTACTAACTTTCTTTGGTGTTACCTTATAGACTGCTCACTTTTCTCTCCATTTAAGAGAATCCATTGTATCCTGTAATTTACCTGACATCCTCACCACCTCTGTCTCTGTTACTACATTTGTCCCTTCTTTGACATTGATATAATTTTGATCTTCGTTTGACCTCCCAGCTCCTTTGAGTTTGTTGTTGCAGTTTTGTTCTGTTTTGGATTCTGTTATCTGTTGACTGAGTTCCAGGTGGTGTTGCCACACTTGTCAATCTCTCTTTTTTGTCTGTTCTTGTTGGTTTTCAGTCCACAGAACTTTCTTTAGGTGTTTTGAAGTGCTTGGTTGGTTTTGATAAAATCTCTCAGATTCTGTTTATCATGGAATATCTTGATCACACCATCATATTTGATTGACAGTTTTGTTGGATAGACGATTCTTGGTTGACAGTTTTTTTTTTCTTGTAGGGCTTTGTATATGTCTCCCCATTGCCTTCTTTCCTGCATGGTTTGTTCTGAATAGTCAGAGCTTAATCTGATTTGCTTGCCTTTATAAGTGACATTTCTCTTCTTCCTGGCCGCTTTTAGTATTCACTCCTTGTTTTTTATTTTGGAGAGCTTGATTATTATAGTCTTGGTGACTTTCTTTTGTGGTCTATCCTTCCTTGGGTACGTTCAGCTTCTTGAATGTTTATCTTCTCATCTTTCAAGATGTTAGGCAAATTTTCTTAAGCTCTTCAACTATCTCCTCTGTGAACTTCTCTGATTCTTCCTGTTCCCAAATGCCCATAATTCTTAAGTTGTTCCTCTTCATGTTATCCCGCATGAATCTTAGACTCTCTTCAGATTTGTTTATGCTTTTTACAGCTTGCCTTTCTATCTTAATAGTGTTGACAGATTTGTCTTCCAGCTCACTAGGTCTGGCTTCCATCTCTTCAATTCTGCTCCTTTCCACTTTCAGTGTTTTGTCCATTTCTGATATCTTACCTTATTATTAATCATCTGGACATCATTTTGAAAGGTTTGAATTGTTTCCAATGCTGTATCAATCTTATCTGATTGCTCCTGGAGTACTTTCCTGACTTCTTCTTTGTTTACCTCCACCTCTTTTCAGAGCATTTGAATTTGTTTCCATATCATTCTTCTGATTTCTTTCTCAGGCATATCCAAAACCTGCTCCTCCTCCGTTAGAAAGCCTTTGTATGTCTCCTGCTCATTTGTCTCAGCTACTGTTTTCTGTTTTTGTACATGTTTCAATATCGTTTGTTGTTTTTTGTTCATTATTTCTGATAGTTATGTGGGTTTCTTTAAAGCTTAAGTGAATGTTTGTTGTTTTTTGTTAAGCTTATTGGGTATCACCTGGTGAATATGATCAGGTGATAGTTTTGCCTTTTCACATGTAATGCTTAGCAGGTGTTGTTGGCTCTTGTCTCAGTGATGCAATATTATGGGGTATGCCCATAGTTTGGCTATATGGCCACAATTGCTGTCTCTTCTTAGGTAAAGAGACAGCATTAGGAGAATAGCTCCCACCTGCAGGAAAGATAAAAAGGACCAATAGCAGAACTAACATAAATGCATAGACAAAAATCACCACTTTGGAACAGAAATGAGTCTGTGGTCGACTGTCCTGAGCTACACAGGCAGTGTGTGTGCAAGATAGACGCCTCCAGCTGTGGGTGATTGTGTCTGTTATCTCAGGCCCTTCCTCTAGTCACTATGATAGAGGTTGCAGGTCGATATTGAACAGTTAATGGGAGAAAGATTGTCCATTATTTTTGTCTCTGAAGGTCAGTTAGATATCTGTGTGTGCACAGTACAATTCTCAGGATGGTTGAGTTCTTTTGTTGGGGTTTTAAAGATTACTTTGTATGGCTACTGCACAGGGAGCTCGGATAGCACAGTGGCTGTGAACGGGGCCGCAAATCACAAGGTCAGTAGTTTGAAACCACCAGCTGCACCGCAGAAGAAAGATGAGGCACTTTGCACCTGCACAGAACCACCGCCCCAGAAACAACGAACAAGGTCACCTGGAGTCAGAACCAACTCCAAGGTGCATAGCTGCCAAGGGTTCCACCAGAGAAAATTTTAGGGCTGTGTCTCTGCAGGTGACGTCATAAGTCGCTGCCAAGTCTCCTCTCTCTGTACAATGGGAAAACTGTCCCACCTGATGTTGTCCAGGCTGAGCAATGAAGGCAGGACACTGCTATTAGCCCCGGTTTTCTGAGCCGGACTGGCTATAGCTCCGCCTTCCAAACTCTGCCAAGGCAATGTGGCTGCAGTGGGAATCCCATCTCCAGATTCCTAAATCACAGTATTTTCATTATTATTATGATCTCTTCACTTGCAAGTGCAGGAAACTAATGTCCTGGATCTTATGGTAGATCCGGAGCTCTGGAGTTATTCTCTGAGCACTTTCTTCCTGGGAGCCCTGTCCCTTCACAATGGAGCGTTCCCTACCTGGTTTTCGCTGCTATCACCCAAACCGAAGTCTCTCAGCTTCTATTTCTTGCTTAGTGAAATGTCTAATTAACTATTTTGCACATTTGAATACCAGATATTTAATTTTTTGTTGTGACGCTTTAGTGGTAATTTCTATATGCTGTTCGTAAGTGCTGAAGAGTTGGTTCCGACTCTTTGTATAGGGTTTCTGAAAACAGTTGTTGAGCTTGAATCACTGACAAAGTAGGTTGAAACCTACTTTGCAGTGCAGCTCATCAACCCCTAAAGTCACACCAGGATACCACTTTCTACATGTTGCTATCAAACATATATTCAGCATGTATTTCTTCATACTTTTTTCTTTCTTTTCTGTGCATTGTCTCCTTGCTTACTTGACAAAGCCCTTTGGTGAAAATAATGTTTTTGTTTTTATTTTAGGCAAAATCATATTTTTTGTTGCTTTGTTTTGTTGTTTGTTACTTGTGCTTTTATTGTTACATCAAAGAATGTTTCTATTCTGTCAGTAATGTTATTATGTGATTCTGAGAAACATGGATTTAGAAAATCTAGTCAAATATCTATTAAATGGCATCCAAGAAACTGACTAAAACATGATTTTTATCAATTTTTGAAATGTTGTTGTTGTTATGTGCAGTTAAATCAGTCCCAATTAACAGAAACAGATAGGATTTCTGAGAAGCAGCCAGTGAGGTTGAACAACTGATCTTGCAGTTCAAACTGACCTTGTGGTTGAGTGCTTATCCTATAATGCTACACCATGACTCTATTTTAAAAACTGAAAAAGATTATTATAAAATGTACAAACTAGTAGTAATTTTTGAAATTTTTACACTTTTGACAATGGATAACCATACAGAATAATGTAAGTTTATTGAAGTTTTAAGTTAGCAAGGTTTCCAAGCAACCTTTTCATGGCTGCTTTTACCTCATTGTTCCTCAGACTATAGATGAGAGGGTTCAGCACAGGGGTGAAAATAGTATAGAAAGCTGATACAACCTTATCATGGTTAGCTGATCTGTAGGATTTGGGTCTCATATAGATAAAAATGGCAGCCCCATAAAAGAGTCCCACCACAGTCAGGTGTGACGAACATGTGGCAAAGGCTTTCTTGAGTGCTTCTGTAGAACGCATGTGAAGAACTGCAGTCAGGATAAAACTATAAGAGGTCAGAATGAGGGAGAAAGGTACCAAGAGCATTAACACACAGCAAATGTACATGGCATATTCGAAGACTGAAGTGTCACTACAAGCCAAACGCACCAACATCGGAGCCTCACAGAAGAAGTGATTGATCTCATGTACACTGCAGAAAGGGAAACTCAGGGTGGTAACTGCCTGCAAGATCCCGTCAGCTGCTCCCATGAACCAAGACCCCATAGACATTTGCAAGCACCGTTGCCAGTTCATGAGGCTAGGGTATCGTAGTGGGTGACACACAGCCACATAACGGTCATAGGACATGGCTGCCAGTAGGAAACACTCTCCACCAGCCATGGTGAGTAAAAGAAAGATTTGTAACCCACAGCCTGCAGGGGAAATGGACCTCTTGCCTGTTAGGAAACCAGATGCCATTTTGGGCACAATGGTTAAAACCAGCATCACGTCCATGAGGGAGAGTTGGCTCAGGAGAATGTACATAGGTGTGTGGAGCCGGTGGTCCCTGTGAATCAGTAGAATCATGAGGGCATTGCCAGTCAGGGAAGAAATGGCTATAATCAGTACCAATATGAAGAGAAAGAGATGGGACCTTGTGTGCTTAAAGAGTCCTAGGAGAATAAAATCTGAGGTAGCATTTCTCTTCTCCATAGTTTTTACTGGCGTGACACTGCATATGGAAAAGGAAATGAGAGGGTTTCCATTATTTAAGACAATATTTAAAATCCAAGGTAGTGGTTCAAAGCCACAGCCTACCATTTAAGATTTTCTATCTTGGCCTATCATTCTAATTCTCAATAGCTGAACCTTTGTATATTTCAAAGATGGTCAATATATCCCTTCATACAAGTAAATAGATTTAAATTTAACTGATGTAAATTAGAAAATAGAACAAAATAGATCAAAGTAAATTCTGGATAAAAATGTGTTCTCAGTTTTAAGATCTAAAGAATAATACAGTGTTCCAAATGGCCTTTTCAGTTGCAATTGTTGTGTTACTATTTTTATGTTACTATTATGCATTCTGAATGAGCTATAGTGGCATAGTGGGTTATACATTGGGGTGCCATCTGAAAGTTCAGATGTTTGAATCCACCATTCACTCTGTGGGAGACTCAGGAGGATTTCTGTTTCTATAAATTTTTCTAGCTCTAGACTTTCTACTATAAGGTCATTATGAGTTAGAATGGACTCAATAGCAATGGGTATTACATATACTGTAGGAGACATCATCATGAGCATGTATAATCTCAGAAAACTGAGGTAAGATTTCTGTTTATAGAGTATCAATGAGTTGGAATCAACTCAATAGTTATGTGTCTTAGTGATTTGTTATATATTTGTTATTGTTAAGTACCATAGAGTTGGTTCCAACTCATAGTGGCCCTTGCACAGGGTTTCCAAGGCTGTAAATCTTTATGGGAGCAGAAAGCCTCATCTTTCGTCTTTGGAACAGCTGAAGGTTTTGAACTGTCAGACTTGGGGTTAGCATCCTGATTTGTAACCACTATGCTATGGAAACAAACTAACAGATACAAGTTTGTCTTATGCATTTTTAAAAAATCTAAGATAATGTATATAAACTTCTGAAATTCTAAAAATATTCTCATTTTTGTAAAGGAAAACCTAGAGTTGATTTATTGTCATACAATATTATTTTTCAAAAATCACAGAATGGAAGAGGTGATTAAAACTAAACAAAATATATAGTTTGAAAAAGAAGAATAATTTGATATGTAATGTATTGAAATTTATGTAAATGTTTAATTCACCTAATTTTTAAAATGCAGATGTTCTAATATATACCTCCCTGAAATGAATTCTGTGCTATTCAGCCTTGATACTTAGAAGAGTATATGTCACCTGAATTTAGAGATTGTTTAATAAACAGATTTGATACATTAAGCCATGATAACCAAGATCTGAGGAATTGTGGGATGGCATAAAGAACTCCATAAAGAAGAAAACAACAGAGCATTTAAAAGATAGGAAAGAAAAAAAAGGCTAAAATGACTATCCAAAAAGATTCTTAAGCTTGGATTTGAATGTGCTACAAGTACTCCATTGTTAAAAAAGAAAAAAAATAAATAAATGTATAGTTGACTTGGAATAAGAAGTCCTGGTTTAAGAATAATTTCTGTCATTTTCTGTACGTAGTATGAAGAAGAACTTAACTTTTAAGTTTTATGCTTCTTGTTGCTAAACAACTCATATGTTTTAAGTTATAAAGCTTCTGAACAGATTGCTTAAATAGTTAACATAGTTCTTATGCATCAGAACAAACTAGACAATGCTGGCTCTGGTTTTGTGTATGAAAGATCTCCAAAATAGTCTTAATATAATTTTTATTTTCTTTTTTCATTTTTCAACTTATGTCATATTTTGCCATTGTTGCTCTCAAAACAAGCAGGTTGAAAAATATAGTATAAAATGCCAATTTGATAATTTCACTTAATGCTGACAAAATGAGAACAAATCTTTAAAATATCTAAATCTGAGTGCTCATCTTATTTTAGAATTTGAACTTGCACAGAATTCCATAATTACAGCAACATAATTAAGGTAATTGTTTAAGCATTGGAAATCGAAGAAATAAAGATGGTTAACTTTACAATATAAACCTTTTCTAATCTTTTTACTTTACATCACATTTTGTCTTATATAGGATTGTATTGTGTACTGGTGGTGGTTGTGGCTATTAACTGCCTTCAACAGGAACTAAATGCTCATTTTCTTGAGAAACAAATATTCTACAAGGAACAGCACATATGTAGAAGATAGAAATATACATACATATTTCTAATTATAATATTACAGTTTTATCCTTGGCTTTTGCTATAAAGTGAAAGGATAATATATAAATAGATGAATAATTCAATATTAGCCCATGCTGTTAAAAAATATGCTATGCAATATTGTATCATAAGAAATATCTCAAAATTTTATAACCTTCAGATAATTTCATAGAAACTTCAGTTTGAGAGTATTGCTTACATATTTCTTATATAAATATGCATCTTGTTTTCTTTTACTTGGTTTGATTTTTAATAGGGTTCTTTTTTTTTTGCATGGTGTCTATACAGCTGCATTTACTTGCTAAATGAAATCTTTACTACTTAGTCAAAAAGGTATATAAAAGCTTGGCAAAGATTATTTTAAGTATATATTCCTTCTTTAGGTAAACTTGTGGATGGATATAAAATTAATACCCTAAATATGATAACTGGAATTCAGTACTTTAAAAATAAATGCAACATATACATGTGTGTGTTTTCAGAATTAGAGAGATTTTTGCCTTAAAATATAGATGATATAGTTCTACTGTACATGTAGAGAGATCATTCAGAAAAAGGAAATTCTTTTTCATATTCTTTAAAGTAATAGTAAAATTTTCCTCAATTTTTCCTTATTTATTCTAGTCCCTTTATTTGGAAAATACCTATGCAATTTTTTATCTATTTATACATAGACTATATTGTTTTGGATGACAGTAGAAAAGGAGATCCTTTTCCATATTTTCTTATTCACATTTATTTGAAAGCACAAGTAGATGCCATTTTCCTGGGCTATTTAAGTTTCATTCCACATTCCCCTTTTTTTCTGCCATCCTATCTTCACAACCAAAGTGTCTTGATATTCACAAATTATTGAAATAACAGGGTAAATTTAAATGATTCAAATTCCACTTATATGAACTCAATCATTAGACTGAATAGACTGTTTACTTAAGAAATATTTTGGCGTCCTGACTCTTTGTAAACATACTTCATGTCCATCTTAAAAATAGTGTATGAACAGAATACAGATGTTTTTTGCTTTATCATTTGTAGATAGTATTTTACAATAGTTACTCTATAATTCAAACTTCTCATGCAAAACATCTATAAAAGATATCAGTAGTTTGACAGGACATACTAGAACAATAGAAGAAAAATTCTAACAAAATTAGACTCACCTCCAAAGTGAGGAATTATAGCCAAGGAGACATATATATAGTGCCAAGTCATTCTGATTGGTCAATGACACCTGTTTGCTTACATCAGTGTTAAAGATACTGTTTTCTACTCTTGGTCTCACGCCATATTTAGTTAAAAGTCCTACATAGTCATTGAAAGTTTCCTATGCCTACAAATCAGGTAAACTGAATTTAAATGTGTTTTTGGCATAAATAATTGAAATAAACTAATTCAATGTCCAGGCTTTGATAAAAGTTAAAACACAGTAAAAAGAAAAGTGAGTTAGATGGGACATTATTAAAAATATGAAAAGGAAGAAGTAAGTGAAGTGACCAAATACAAAAATGTGTGTTCTGTTCTCTAATCATCTTTCAACTGACCAAATATGACTTAATTGCTTGAATAAGTGGATGGTTTATTTTTGGAATTATTTGGGAACAACAAAAATTGATTCAGTTATTGATCATTTCAACATGTTACTGAGTTTGCTCAAATCTTTATATTCATTTTTTTTTTAATTTAATCTTCAGACTATCCTTTTGAACTATGAACTTCTGCACTCTACAGTAAACAACATTAAGCATTTTAAGAAAAATACCAATATTTAACCATTCTAAGATATCAGATTAGAAAATAAATGTTTGAATCATACATTTGTGCTCTCAAACTTTATTCAGCATCTCAATTTATGGGCAAAGAAGAAGTTGGATTCATTTAGGTTTTCATTCAGCAGGTGAGGCATGATAACCTGCATTTCCAATATAGATACCAGATGGTGCTGATGCTGCTAATGTATGTATGAGAGTCTGAGAACAACTTCCTAGATAAGTCACCTAAGCTAAATTTTAGCTGCGCCTTATGTTTAATTACAATACTCTTATGACATTGTTTTTACATTAAAAAAGAAAAAAAATATGTATTTATTTCAATGTCCAAAGGGCACATTCTGAAAACCAGTGTGCTGCCCACAGACATGTAGTCTTTCTCAGTCCATGGACTTTGAGTCTGCAGCTGCTCTATCTCTCCATATCATCACCTTTTCCAATCTCTCCACTGTTGCCACTTTTCTAAGTAGGCTCTCATGCTCAACTCATGCTTTTCCATCTTGATGGACCTGGGATCTTCTGTTCCTGAAATGGAAGATTAGCAACTTCTCCCTTTTACTTACACATCTTCTACAATTACAGTTGTGACAATCATAATTAATCTGGCTCACAATTAAATAATAAATCCTATCACCATCATTCCCATCCCCTTTTCCCAGATGCATCTGAAAACAGGAAAACTATTCAGTGGGCATTCTACATTACCTACCTGATTCACAAACTAAGCTCATGAAAGAAAACATGTAAGTCCGCCACTCGTGCTTGTATAGCCCCTCATTTCACTAGCCAATGTCTCTATTGCTTGCCCTATCAATGCAGTCTACTGAGAAAACAAGCTTGAGCTTTGATATGAAGAATCCTTTCATTTTTGTTGGAATTTTGAGCAACTGTATGCATAAGCAAAGGTCCAGTTCATGAAATGGTAGAAATTAATATTTATTCATAGTATCAAGCATTTTTATCTTCATTTGGTCTAAGTCTCATCAGCTAGCCATACAAGAATCTAATGGGTAATAACTATAAACTTGGTAGTATAAGGAAGCCTCCCCAACTTCAGACCAGCTGGCTACTTCTCTCTCAGCTATAGCCC